ATTCTCTCTTTCTTAATTCTATTAAATCTTTTTCAAATAAAATTAAAGTAAGGTTAGGAAATCAGTGACAAAAGTACAAACACTTAACATTTGTAAAATTTATTTAAAAAAGGTGTGTACCAACGATTTACTGTCATATCTTCTATTAATATTAGTATTTTTCTTACTTAATGTTCTTAATTTGAATACGACAAACTTTCTAATAATTTTAGGAAACAATTGATAATTTAAAACATGTTTAGCCGTAACCTGACTAAAGACAGATATTAAATAATTTTTCCAGAATTGTGCAGTGCAACCACTCATTTTTATTGTTATTATTTCGTACTGAGCAAAAACCACGAACATAACTTGAATCAACTCAAATCAACTTGAATAAACGATCACATACGAACGCACATATTCGTGTGAGTGAAAGAGTGAAATGGCCTATATTTCTCTCTCACTTGTAGGATTTCGCTAGGAAATGCCGGACTCGCCTGATGGCCAGTCTCTGTTAGGCTGGAGTCACATTGAGCGGTAATTACAGCGGAACGGAATAGTGAAACCAATCAGAACTCTACAATCATTCCGCTGCTTTACTTTCTGCGATTGTGATTGGTCTCGTTGTTCCGTTCCGCTGTAATTACCGCTCAATGTGACTCCAGCCTTAAGCGGGGAGCACAGACTTTTGCATAACGCATAAAAGCATGTGCATATGGAATTTCATTGGTCCATTTTCTTATGCATGAGTCAATGGACCAATCAAATTCTTTATGTATATGGTTTATGCGTTATGCAAAAGTCTGTGCTCCCGCTTTAGAGGGTCTCTACACTTCTCCAGTCAGTAGGATGACGTCATCCTAGTAATATTATTTTACTAACTGGCAAAGGGACTATGGGAAGACTGCCTTTATACCACATGAGCACACCATGTATACTTCCACCCATGGTGTAATAAGAAAGGTGAAACGTTGCGCCGATGGGGGAGGAACTAATCACGTGATATTCACGTGACCCGCTGTATCTACCAATCCGGTGTGGAGCGAAAATGCATAATTCCAAATCTATTTTAATTCCAAATCTATTTTAATTCCAAATCTATTTTTAAGGGAATATGTATTAATATTAGAGGTGGCGAATGAGTGAGCTTGGTGTCATTTTGTAGCTAGGAAATAATAAAAATAAATCCAGAGGCACGTGTAAAATGACAGGTTCCCTAACCTGACGTACAATTCAAGATTTGTATCTTTATTTTTATTTCCTAGCTACAGAATCACTCCAAACTCACTTTTTCGGTAGCTGTATAATAGTAATAAATATTCTCTTAAAAAAGGATTACGGGAAAAATGATTGTTAAAACCTAGAACTTGGAGCAAAGTTTTCCTCGCTTTTGCACGCGCTCGAGGGCCCTTCAAATAATAACTCTACCGACATCGATGATTCAAATAACCAAAGTAATAAACAAGATTAGTAAGCCACTAGCAACAGATATAATTTGAGCATTTTTATTACATTTTTAATCAATATAAAAGTAACAATTATAAAATCAACGAATAAAGTAAAACTAACAGTAAACGAGAACAGTAATTATGCTACCACTTTATTAGTGATATTTTTTAACTTTCTATTAAAATTTTGATTTTTCTTGCCTCTCAATAAATTAGTTTCTTTAATTTAAACATAGTGTTGTTAACTTCCATTCTTTTGTTTGATTTTCTCCTTTGCTCTTCATTATTCCAAGAACACTGTGTAGAATACCGGGAGGAACTTTAAAATTCGCGGTCCAATCTCTTAATACTGTCTCGCATGGGAGAGGAATATGAATAACCTCACGTAGATATTTATATGCTAGTCCACTTTTGGCTCGTAAAGCTAATGCCGATGAAATGTCTTCTGCAGACCACCTAATCCGCGCTCGGTTCTCCGACAGCAGGACTTTTATTTGGCCCGGGGTAAACACCTTGCCAAGAATTCTTTTCACGGTATTCTTTTCATGATTTTCAGCATCCCTTTTCATATCCAGGCATCGTTTTTCAGCTCTTTTTTTTTCTCTTTCCAGGCCCAAAATTTGGTTCAAAAGATTTTCTTCGTTTTTCTTCATTCCTGTCAATTGTTCGTCTTTTTCGCGAATTTCCATAAGCAGGTTTACGTGCATTTCAATTTCCATTTTTTCTCGAATCTCTCTTTCTTCTTTTATTTTCTTATTTTCTGCCTGAAGCTCCAACATTTCTTTTGCAAGTTGTTCATTTAATTCTGTCAATCGCCTGAGCTCTTCGTTCTCTTTCGGTACATTTTCGACCTGACTTGAACCAGAACAAGTTTCCACACCTCTGAAAAAAATAATAAATGCATATTTACAATTATCGGTGTCCAAATGACAAATTCTTAGGCCAGTTAAACTTACGTACATTGTAGACAAGCAAGGTGTGTCTGTTAATCCACTGCTTGTTACACCCTCGTTCGTCATTTCGACGTTCGAAACATTGCTTCCTTCGTAATTTATGTCACAAGATTCCGACTGTACACCGACTTGAAAGTTCGATACGCCAACACCTGAAAAACTGACGTAAAACAAATAAAAAATTTGTTAATATTGAAATCAAATACATTGTTTAAGGTCTGAAACTTTCAGAGACTAGATGTATACCTAAAGTCAAATCATAATAATAGTTTAGATATGAAGGCCATAAAAGAGATTAAAATGCCATTATTGTGACATATGTTACTCTACTTTAATGACGAATGAATCGTCAACTGAAAAATTCCGAGAAAAAATGTTTTATAGGATATAGAAAACTTACACATCACAGAATTCGGCTTGGCTTGTAGCAAAGTCCTGCTTTTCCACATCATGAAAATGATAACCTTGAATGCATCTGTCCTTGAGAGGTCTGCTCAAATCTGCTTCTGCTTTTCTTGCTAACTTTTCCTTTGCACACGTCAGTAATTCTGCATAAGTAGGTATTCCGGTGAAACTATAATGACAAAACACGCTAAACTATAATGAAAAATTTTAAATTGCGAATTTTAATAAATATATCCCAACAATAGAAAGAGAATTAAAACGAATTAACTGTAACTTTTCGAAAATTCATTTTTTTCCCATTTTGTTAGTAGATTCTGATGCCATTTTTTCTTCAGTTATTGAGATAATAATCGACTTTGGTAAATAAAACTATTTCTACAATGCTTATCCATGATAATAAAATTAAAGTTTTACCAGGATTTCGTGCGCTCTGTTCTATTGCATCCATCCGATGTTGATGCAGGGGAAGAATCCGATGGTGCTCCCTTTTTGTTGCATACATCTAAGTGTAATGTTGGGACAGAACCAATCTTCAATCTCCGCATCATGCGAGGTTGTACGTTTACCGTTCTAGGTTGTGTCATTTTATCTTCGAAGGAATCTGGCGTGAAATGAATTTGACATATTCCAGCTAAAAATAAAATTCTAACATTTTTCGTATATTTCTTTGAAATCTACATTGCAAAAAATAGCAATGAACTTTACAAATCTATTGTATTTTACAAGCATAAAAATTTATTTGGTTCTTACATGGTAAATGTCATTTACATCGTAAATTTACCATTGATGAGAAAAAGCGTTAATTATTTTAAAAATTGTTTGTCTTTTTGTGTTTGCATAATTAAAGGTTTAGACACATTTCTAAAACTCTTACAGAGAAATCACATTCGTGAATCGAATATGGTAAAATTATACAATTTTCTTTTACATTATAGTGAAAAATTGTTTTACCTTTGCTGAATTTAATTTCACCGTCGTGTCGTTGACAAGCATCAATCCATTGTTTTTGTAGTTTGGCATCTTTTGGAAAACTAAATAATTTTACATTTTCCAATTTCCTTTTCCCTGACCGACTGGCACAATGACGAACTGCACAAACTGGCATGATACCTGAAAAAATGAATACTGTTATTATATCTTAATATTTTTATTACGTTATTTACGTAATACTTTATCGGCAAGAAGCAAATATATGTATATATTTGATGTACATGTATTTCTAAAAAATTTGAGGTTAAGTCATTGTTATTGTTTTTATGTTTGTTAATATTATGTGATACGTATATAAATATACAAGACTAATACTTACAGTTCCAAAATACCGTGAATTGCCGGAAATAACTAATTTACTGTAATCACTTAATGTAATTACTTATAATAAATATTCACTACACATATATAGACCAACACAGCCTCATAGATCACACGTGATCACACGTATACGACGCACATAATTATGCAAAATCGCTCCAGCAGTGATTGGCTGTTTCATTTTGCTACTGCGCAACTTTGGAACATTTCACCTTTCTTATTACACCATGCTTCCACCCAGGAAGTAAGATATAAGGAGACTCCACTCCGTAAAATAAAAGTGGACCCATTTTAGGTTTCGAGTTCAGCTTCCGATTCTGATGAGTGCGAGTAAGAGAAATGATCATTTCTCTTACTCGCACTCATTATGCGCAGCACTACTAAATTCACGAGCGCTGCGAGTGTCGAGAATCGGAAACGGAACTCGAAACCTAAAATGGGTTCATGTCTTGTAGACTGGCGAGACCGAGTGGAGTCTCCTTATATCTTCCTTCATGCTTCCACCACAGTATTCTAGCACAGTATATACAGTAGCGCAACTCTCTGTCGGCACCTTTGATGTTAGTGAAGCCTAAAATGGAGTGCGCATGCGCGGCCGAGGCGCGTAACCAATCAGGGCACTGTATTCTATCTCACTTCTGCTCTCTGTTTATAACCTTTTCTCTCTTTCTAATTTATGTTCTAGCAATGTCCTAACCTAATTTGCACATTTGAATACGCGTACTAACAAGTAACTTTTATAAAATTATCTTAATTTATTTCATTATTCACAGCGAATACAGAAATCTATAGTTCTCGTTTACACTATATAGATATTTAATACTCACAGTGAAAAACGAGACGCATTTGAAAGAGAAAATAAAATAAAAATTAAACATATATAATGCACATTTATTTTATAACACTATATTTTGCAATTAAATATACCCACAAAATATATTATTATTAACTAATTGTACAGCAATATTGTATGTATAGCATATATCTTGTGTATACAATATAATATATACGCAATTAGAACAGAAAGTCACAATAAAGTCAAAATGACATTAGAATGATTGAAAAATGACTTTTAATGATCATTTTGGAACAATTTTAACATCATTTTGATACAATGATGACTTGTTTTGTTTGGATATATAATTAATGTGGTATTTCATATTTTGAAATATCATATGGCTCGAATAAAATTACTTATATTTATTATATTTTTTTCATATTGAATATAGTAACCGCAGATATTAGGAAATGCAAGAACATTCTCTCTCTCTCTCTCTCTCTCTCTCTCTCTCTCTCTCTCTCTCATAATTTTGTTGGTACTGCATCCGGATGAAGAATAGCTCTACTCTTGCTTATATTGTACCACTTTTCTTCAAAATGTAAGTGGCACAATCTATAAATGCGATGGGCATATTCTGCTCCACTTGCTTCTAAATCTAATCTTTCACACGCACGTATCCATTGCAACCATCTATATAAATATTATTATATTGGTTATTGTAAATACAAATAAAATATAGATAAAAAAATAATAGATATATATATCTACACATATACATATATATATGTTATATATATGTTATATATATGTTATGGTATATATATATGTGTTGTATACAGAAATTAAAAAATATTGAATATTCCAAATATACATATGTTAATATATAGCATAATATACAATAAATTCGTATGTGTTTTAGAAAATAAATGAAATAAAAAGTTGTACCTGTCATGTTCCTTTGGAAACCGAAAAAAGTGTCGTTTTTCCACAATATTTTTATTACAGTCCTCCTTTACGACACACCATCCGCTTGATTTTTGAGCACACATTTTTTTCGCCTTTTAAAATCTCTCCAAATATCTGTAACAGAAAGCTAAGATCAAAGTGCTTCAAGAGAATTTGAAATCTGTACTATTTTTGTACAGATAACCTATTCTCCGTAAAGCTAACTCGGTCTACGTTCTCTGTTTTTTTACACTTTCTTAAACACGTCTGAATACACTGAATAATTATTAAAATTAAACACGTATCACTTATCACTTTATCACACGTAGCACTATTCTCACTGTTTCTCACATAAAATTCGTCGCGTTCCCGCCACTTTCCGTCAAATGGTCCTTTAAATGCCTTATATGGGCTGTTTTCCAGCTAGGACACAGAAACGTTACACTGTGCTCCACTGTGTAAAGACTTGTTGGAACGATAGAGCTCTAATTGGTAACACTGGCATACTCTACACGTTCGTACTTAGCTTTTTACAGTGTCGAGCAGTGTAACACTGTGTCACAGTTGGAACACTTTGTGTAAGACACAGTGTTACACTGTGTCATCTGTGTACGTTGTTGGAAAACACCCATGGACATTTCAATGGGACTGACAGACACCGACAATAGAAAGAAGAAGTGAGATAGAATACAGTGCCCTGATTGGTTACGCGCCTCGGCCGCGCATGCGCACTTCATTTTAGGCTTCACAAAATCAGGAGAGTTGCGCTACTGTATATACTGTGATCTAGTATCATCCAAGTGCACGTAAGTGAAGTAAGTGACGTAAAATATAACCTCAATTGATAAAAGCTTCCGGGAAGAAATAAATTTACTGCAGGGGTGCGTTTCAGAAATTATGCTCAAATAATTTTTAGGTGCATTTTTGCTATAATATATGTAACGTAAACTATGGCCTAGAGTTACCTAGACGTAATTCCTGAACGCAGCCTAGAGGAACATTTTACATTTGTACGTTCACTAAATATAGAAAAAAAGTTTATGCGTCAATATATTTGTGCAATAAAATTATAAACTTATAAAAATAACGTCGGATCACTCTACGTTCCATTTTAATATTTTAATATTTTCGTATGAAAGAAGAAAGTTATATACGTGGTTTACATTGAGTACAAATTTTGTTAAGGTGGTATACTTTTTATTTAAATTGTTACTGCATCTATATGAATATATAAATATGACTCATATTTGTTTTAAATGTTCATAAATATTCCCTCTTTCGAATGTGACCATTGACTTTCAATTTTAACCTCAGCAAAAAATTAAAGTTCTCAAAGCTTAGAGTGTTTAAATTGGGTCCAGTTACCTTACTAATTATAAAGTGTAACGATGTACATTGACTTTTGATAATATAATCATAAACTGTCATAAACAAAGGTGAAAAATGCAAAGTGAGAGTGAAGAAGGAGAAATTATATCAGACTTCGAAGAAGATTTTACAGAAGAGCTACATAGTTTGCCTCATGTTATAATGTTTATATGTAAATTGCGTGATCATATTAGAAAACAACGGAAGAAAATTGATAAATTACGAAGAAAACTTAAGGAGCAGGTATATATTTTTAATAATACTGATATTTTTTATTATCTCTGATTAAACTAGTATTCATAGTTGATTCTTTGAGAATGATATTTGAGAATGTCTTACGTACAGTCTTAAAATGTCATAAGTTAATCAGAAGACTGCGCATTAGTATATATATCTTAAGACATTACTTAAGACGATCTTAAAATAAGAACAGACTATGAATACTGACCCATGTTTATCATAAATATATACATATTTCTCTTTTGTTCTTTTTTTCTTATTTTCATTTTTTCCTTGATTTATATAAATTATTATCGTATATTGTCTTTTACAGAAACAACAAAATTTGCTCTGTACAAAAGCATATATAGACTGTGGGACTCAGACAAATCCTTTAGATTTTAATAAATCGTTATCTCAAGATTGGGATGTTAGTCATAACATTAAGTCATCCAGTATAGTAGATCAAGTGAAACAAGTAGCAGAATCGGTTTTATTACAGACTGGTTTTGTTTATGAACAGACATCAGGAATGTATTATGATTATAGTACTGGATATTACTATGATACAGTATGTATTGCTGGATAAATTTTATATAACATATACATATATATTTTATATATATATGTGTGTATATATGTGTATAAAAATGACAAGCATATAAATCTGTTATTATTTTAGAAGCAAGGTTTATATTATGATGGAAATACTGGAATATATTACTACTATGATGAAACTAGTAATACGTATCAATTTCATAGTCAAATCTATACAGACAAGATTGCTCCTACAAATTTTCAAAGGAAGGAAGAAACTGGAAAAACATACAAGGTTCCAATCATAATTTTTAAAATACATATTTCTATATGTTTAGGTATCAAAGGAGAAGGATCAATAAGATGGGTTTTTAGGTCCATCACTGGTCAGTTTCTGTATTATTTTATTCTTCTGTTCAAAGCTCATAAAATCCTGAAATGGGTTTTTTTTTTTCAAAAATGATTTGGTCCAGAGAAATAACCATTTTTAAGTTTCCATTTTACATGGGTTTTTATACTTTAGAGTAAATCAAAATGCGTTTCATATTCTAAATATTGCTCGTGCAAGATCAATCTTCCCTAAAAACTGCACATATGCATTATAACAAATGTCAGAATCTGTGAGGTACTTGACCTTCAGAGAAAGGCTTATTTTTTACAATTTCTTTTACATTAACTCTAAAATATTTTATTTTATAAGCTTCGTCAAGAATAATTCCCACAAAATGGAATAAACGAATTTGGAAATGCGCAAAATATAGGAAAAAATATTTATCAATAAGGAATAGATATGAAAGGCCTTCAATAGCTGCGTTCAATAATAGCAAATCTGAGGCGACAAAGTGCTCTTATATTATATGACATATGCTAATATGTCATGTGCACTATAGAAAAAGAGCACTCCGACGCCTCAGATTTGTATTGCCAAACGCAGCTATTATAATTCTTATGCAATTTCAAGATATTTCAAGATTATTCGAGGACAATATCTTTTACAATAAAAACTGTAGAAAAAATAAATCAAACGAACTTAAAGACAAATATGTTTTCGAGTGCGAGCAGAATTCTTGAATGAAGTTAATAAATAATGATCAATAAGAGTATATATGTGATTTTGGACAGATTTGCCATATGGGTCTGACACAATTCCAAGATATTTCGGGATTTTCTGGGGATGATTTTCCACCACAGGTGGCAGTCTTCTGTTTTTTATTTTATAAGTTTTAGTTGACTTTTACCTTTTTGCCTGTTTTTTTTAAATTCACTGAAAAATAGGATTTAGGGGTGTGCGAGTATCCGTAAAATTCGGATACCGAACTTCGGATCGGATAATGATCGTGTCGGTTTGGACGGGTCCCGAATGTTCGAGTACACGAATTTCGGAATAAAATTCTTGATTCGAAACCCGAAACTGTATTTGGGAATTCAGAACTCGATATTTGATCCGAGATAAAATTTTATTTAGCTCATAATAATTTCATTAATACTAACAATAAAAAACTGAAATCATAACACAATTTTGATATAACATATCAGTAGCGGAATTCTCTAAATGTCTTATCGATGATTGTCGCTATCGTTAACTAGCAACAGCCAATGGTAGGGCAATCCTAAAAGAAAACGCGGCTTTCATTGGCTGTCGCTAGTTAACGATAACAAAAATTATCGAAAAGACATTTAGAGAATCGCGCAACAGACATGTAAATATGAAACCGGAATTTTTTTTAATAAAAAAAACACGTTTATTGCATAAAAATGATAAAAAATATTTTATTCGAAGTATTGCCCATTGCTAGCTATACATTTTTCCCACCTGTCTGACAATTTGTGGATGCCACGCCAAAAAAATTGTTGCTCTTTTGAGCCAAATCAGTCATCTAGCCATTTTCGTACATCTTCGTAAGAAGTGAAGCTCTGCTGAGCAAGTGCATGTCCCATCGATGCAAATAAGTAGTAATCGGACGGAGCCAAGTGAGTAAGCCACTTGCGAAAGTATTTCCCAATCAAACGCCTCAATCGTTTCTTTGACCAGTTTTACTGTGTGTGATGGTGCATTATCATGAAGCAAAATCACTTTGTGTTGCCTTTTTTGATATTCAGATCGTTTTTCACGCAAAGCTTGATTCAAATTGATCATTTGTTGTCGGTAGCGTTCAGTATTAACGGTTTCGCCAGGTTTTAGCAGCTCATAATAGATCACACCTTTCTAATCCCATCAAACACAGAGCATTGGTCGCGTTCAGCGAACTCAACAGTTGAGTGAGCGCTCGCTATTATTGGTGTATTCTTTTAGATCATCCAATCAGAATTTTTAATCTAGAAGAATGCACCAATAATAGCGAGCGCTCACTCAACTGTTGAGTCCGCTGAACGCACCCATTGTCTTCCGTCCATAGCGATTTGGCCTTACAGTCGATGTCGATGGTTCGCCTGAAGTTACCCATGATTTTTTACGCTTAGGATTCTCAAAATATATCCACTTTTCATCGCCAGTCACAATTCGATGAGGAAATGACTTTCTTTTGTACCTGGCGAGCAGCATTTCGCAAGTGGTTTTTCGATTTTCCTGCTGTCTTTCATTCAGTTCATGTGGAACCCATTTTCCCATCTTCTGGATCTTTCCCATGGATTTCAAACGTATGGAGACGGCTTCTTGTGTCACATTCAATTGATCCGCGAGTTGTTTAGTTTGAGCATCATCCTCATCCAACAATGCTTGCAATTCGCTGTCTACAAACTTTTTCGGTGGTTTTCCACGTTCTTCGTTTTTCACGTCAAAATCGTCACTTTTGAATTTTTTGAACCACTCAAAGCACTGTGATTTACCAAAAGCATGCTCACTATAAGTTTCGACAAGCATTCGATGCGATTCTGCAGCAGTTTTCTTCAAATGGTAACAGAAAATCAATGCTGTCCGCAAATCGTAGTTTCCAGGCACAAAATTCGACATGTTCAACGTTATTACAAACTATACTGTTGTATGAAACTTGTATTGTTGTGAGTTGAAAATCTTTATCAGATGTCAGAACAAGGAAATGGCGTCAATGACGCGGTCTGACGGCAACTACATTGACAGCTATGGCTATCTATTAGTCAATTCTGGTTTCATATTTACATACCTGGTAAAGGGTACATTCCACTTAATACCCACAACGCTCGCAAAATCATATTATTCTTGTTATTTATTAAATGTCAAATAAGGAAAAACGATGCTCTTGAGCGTTGCGAGCATTAATAGTGAATTCGGTCGCATGCACTAGTGTACACTTAAGTGTAAATTTTCCCAGTGCAGCGTGTTCGATTGATGGTCTCTGTTTGGTGCACTGGGCTGCGTTCAGAATCATCATCTGAGTGCACCCAGGTGTCGTGTTATCCTTGTTTATCATTCGTGAATAACAAGGATAAAACAACATCTGGGTGCATCCGGACGACGATTCTGAACGCACCCCTGCACTCATTATATTCGATAATATTGCACTCAACGACATATATATCTAGACCAAGCATTCTCATGCTTTTTTGGTGGTGAGTGAAGACGGAAGTTGGCAGAATACGACTGAGAGAGATAGTTTGGGTAAATCTTTACAAAAGGGGACCACCCTCCGATGACCTTGACCTTGACATATGGTGTGTGTGTGTGTGCGTGCGTGCGTGCGTGCGTGCGTGCGTGCGTGCGTGCGTGCGTGCGTGCGTGCGTGCGTGCGTGCGTGCGTGCGTGCGTGCGTGTGTGCGCGTGTGTGCGTGTGTGTGTGTGTGTAAAAGGCGGGTGCAAGGAGGTGGCCTTCGGCCATCCCCCCGCACCCACACCGTCATGGAGGTTTGCCCCGACAGTACAATCGTAGAAGTCGTGTGCCCCTGTGTAGGGGGGGGGGGGGGGAAAGTTACTTCTCGTGGAAAGTTTAACGTTTCTGAACAGGGAAAAGTGTAGAATAGTATACTCAATATCATACATGTATTACATGATATACCTCAATTTTAAAATTGCAACAGTGCAATCATAGAAGTCGTACGCCCTTTGGAGGGGAGGGGGGGGAGGAATTGGAGTTCGTGTAGTGTAGGAAGTCAAAATGTATGTGTAGAATAATGTTTAAGATGGTATATAGCAAAAATAAGACGTTATTTTTAAAACTTTGATTGTTAATGACTTTTTAACGAAGGACTAGCGACGGCTAATACCTGCCGGAGGTTACTCAGGGTCATGACCTTGACAACATATGTCAAGGTCAAGGTCATCGGAAGGTGGTCCCCTTTTGTAAAGGTTTATCATAGTTTGTTTGTATTCTTACTATCTCATTTTATCTTGCGGCAAGATGGCCGATGCTGTCAAGACTGTGATAGAATACGGTAATCTATGTATAATAACTTGTACCAATTTCAGTTTGATTTGTGTTAAAATAATATTAATAATGAATTGTTGCATTTGCAAAATTAAATATGGTGATGGACCAAACTTTCACAGGTATACGAAAATATATTATACTTTTGTATTTGTGTGTATTGATTATTTATATGAAAAATATAAGTACAAATGTTAGATGAAAATATAATAATTTATTCATTGCACTTTTTAATTTATTGTATTTTCTTAATTTTGCATTACATAGCACTCAAAACATTGGGCGAGTTCAAGACGGCAAAGCGGCTAGGTATGTTTGCCGAGCGATTGAATATAATTGGTTATTACTTATAGATCCAACCAATCATACTCGATCGCTCGGCAAGCGTACCTAGCCGCTTTGTCGTCTTGAACTCGCCCATTGATAGTAAACTGATTATTTTTCTATGTGATAGAATGAGATTATAACTATCTCATTCTATCTTACAGTCTGGACAGCATCAGTCATCTTGCCGTAAGATAAAATGAGATAGTAAGAATCCATACGCACTATCTCTTTCAGTTGTATTCTGCCAACTTCCGGCTTCACATCGCAGCTAGAATGCTTGGTCTAGATATACATATATGTCGTTGATTGCACTATTATGGTACACATCATATGCTGTGTTCGATTAAACCCAAAACACATGAAATGCATAACAGTGCATAAACATAACATAAGGGTGCAAACCCATGCAGCGGAATAGCGTAACGCGGAACGAGAGCTGAACCAATCACGAGTTTCTTTAGAAACACGGAATGCTCGTTATTGGTTCTGCTCTCGTTCCGCGTTACGCTATTCCGCTGCATGGGTTTGCACCCCAGACTGCTGGACCAATGAGCATCTTATGTTAATCAATATGGCAACTTTATGCTGGATGCTTATTGATCCAACAGTTTTATGTTATGCTCATGCTCTA